TTTTCTGCAGTTGTAAGTCAAGGGCTGCCCTGAAGCAGTGATTTGATCTCCCTTGCCTGAGCTTGCCTCACAAAAGCCTATCAGTAATAAATATTATCCCAAGTGACTGTGGTATAAGTAATGGCATTCCTTGCCCAAAGATCACCCCTCTAAAATCACTCTCTGTTCATGTTTGGAAAGAACTGTTGGGGAGAAAGGTGCAAATGACTCTTGCCTCTGCTCCTAATGTCAGATACAGATCACCTGGACACCAAGAACAAGACAGACCCAGCAGGACCCAAGCAATCTCTAGTTCCTGGTGTCTGCCCCTGTTTTTCTAGTGAAGCCCATGTCTGAGGCTGTGCTCAAACTGCCCTCTCCTCCCTTTTCTATGAGGAAGTACATGGTGCCTTCCTCTGCTTTGGCATGGCAGCCCAGACCAGCTGTGCACAGACATGCACCTTCCCAGAAGCAGGCCAAGCTTACTCTAAGCAAGGACTGATGCTTTGGGCCTGAGCTTGGCCAGCAGCCACCAACAGGGAGAGATGTGAAAGACATCAGACCGTGCATTTAAGGCCTCCATGGCTTGAATCCCTGGTGTCACCAGTGCCATCACTCCAGCATTGTCCTGGAGACCTCCCACGCAGTACCTTGGGATAAGCCCAGGGGCTCCCTCCTTAACTGCCCGTGGGAGGTGAGTGTCACTGGTGATCCTACGAGGAAAGTATGAGTCTCCTTTTTTTAGTGCTCCTGCTTTCTTCCTTCTTGTGTTTGCAAATACAAGGGGTAGAGGGGTGGGAGGATTTGGAAATGCATTGCTTCATCTGTATTTTTAATTAAGTGCTTTGCATTTAAGGCTTTGCTGTAAAATGGGATAGATTTCTTCAATAATAATTACACTGGGGAAAACCAGCTTCATCTGAGTTGCATAAGACTTGCTTTATCCAGGCATGTGGTCTTATTAGAACTTAAATGTGATTATCCAGGGAAGACCAGAAGCTTTTGTTTAGTGATAAGAAGGGTCAAAAAAAAAAAAAAATTAAAGGCAGCACAAGCCATAAACCCCTCTCTGAAGGCTGTTTGGTTCCACCACAGTACACTAGTGATTCTCCCTGGAATCAGCATATGGTTCCCTTATCTTGTGGTGGGGAGATAGACAGTCCCTGGGGAAAACAGTAAACTGCCTGAGTCTTTGAGTCAAGGAATGGAAAACACAGAGTGTGATTTTCAGAGTCCCTGTCCCTAATCCATCCTTAAATATTCCCATAGTTCTATGCAGTTTGAATTAACTTAATTATGTGATAGATTTACAGTTTAACATTTCAGATATAATTACCTCTTATTATCGAAAACAAAGGAGACACGTGCCAGTCTGAAAGAGTAAAGACATAGCCCCAAGGAAAGGGATTATTAGTTTATCTTGTCTTTTCCCCTCACACATGCACATGCAGATATTTCTGCACAAGTCCCTCTATACCTACTTGTCAGAGCATTCCTTGTTCCTTGGCTTCCAGGGCTGCTCTTTCTTCATGCACCTGGGAAGAGGCTGAAAAGTCCTTTGATTGATTAAGTTCATGGTCATCATCATAGGCTTGGGTTCCAACAGAGGTCCAGCTATTTGAATTTGATATACGTGGCAAGACTAAAATAAGCTGTTCAACAGTGCTTACCAGGGTTTGGACAACTGGAAACCTACTGAGCATCAGGCAAGAGCACCAGGGCACTCACTGAAATCACTGTACCTGGTTCATAAAGTGTAAAATTATTCATCTGAATGCTGGCTGTGTGAGGCACTGATTCTCATTTGTTAAATCCTCTCTTTGGAGTCCTTTTTGCATTTAGGACAGGCAATGTGGCTGCAGGATCTTCCATACCTTGCTTATTCTCTCACTTGAAATACTGGGAGTTACTGTTGGGACCTGACTGTTGAAGGAATTTACTGCAAATGGAAGCAGGGCTGAACTCCCAATTTTGTTTGCATTTAGATATTTTTATGAAAACTTTTCACTTACTACTATCCAGTCAAACCATTTGAGTCCACTCCTAAATATCAACATAATGACTAATGCCCTTTGCTGCAAGTGGACATCACTAATATTGGACCACGAGTAGTGAAAATTAATTTTAAAAAAGTAAAAGGTACCTTTTAAGGTAACCAGTGCTGGTACAACTGAGAGATACTGAGACAGGGGGCAGTGAGGTGTGTTTGTGTGTAGGTAGACACATAGCTTTGGAGAATGACACTGAAGAATTATCTCCATTACAGCAGGGTGGTACCATTTCTCATATCAGCCTCATTCATCTCTCAGCATCCTGTGCCAGGAATAAAAGGTTGTGATGATCAGTGACACAGAAACAGCTACCTGATGGTCTTGTTGTGTACACACCAGGGATGTTGCCCTGGAGACCATGTGGCAGCAAGGGCAGTGTTCCTGTTTTCATCCAGATGCTGGGAGTTGCTTGGAGAAGTTCATCCATCAGGGAGGTTAATTGGGAGCTTCATCAGCACTGGCCCTCCATGCCATGTGGCTTCTTGCTGCCTCTGCAGAGCTCCTAGAGGGGAACAACACAGTTACCAAAATACCCCAGGAGCAGAGGAGAGCTGGGCTTTGGGCACTGTTTTTTTGCTTGCAGCCACATGTGGCTGTGCAAGTCATCCAGGAGTGAGGCCACTAAATACTCATGGGTGCCTAAGCCTCTTCTGGCTGTTTGCAGCCCTCTGCCCTGCTTGCCAAGGTGGTGTCAGAGGGCTGCCTTGGCACAGCATGTGGTCCTCCAACAGGGATTAATCCCACTGAATGTGGACATGGCAACGCCTACACCTGAGCTGTCTAGACACCCCTTCTAACAAGCAAAAAGCAAGAGGTGTGGCTAGGGGCTGAGTCATTTTAACTTGACAGCCCAAACAAGCCTGGCTAATCTGCCCTAAAAAGATGCCTGTTTTTTTCCAGCAGCTGCAACATGAGCCCAGAGTGCTCAGGTTGGATGGAGATCCTGCACTGTAAGGCAAGCTGAATCCCTCTCCCTGGTTTTGTGTTGGCTGTGGCCATGTAAAGCATCAACAGATGAGAAAGCTGATTTTGTTCTGTACTGGTCTCTGTGTTTTCCAGGTTTTCTGCTGTTTCTGGGGTTGTAAAAGGAACATCTAGCTATACAGTCAGTGTCACATCTTGAATTTTTATATATCCCTCTTCATATTATAAGGAAGTGTACACCTGGAGGTGCCCCTCAGTGTGGTCAGTGCAACCAGCTGGGCACAGTGCTGAGCAAAGATTGTATATCCTTTCTCTAGGGAGTCAGACCATACTGAGAGCTGCCATCAATTAGACACAAAATCCCCAAATATCTTGGTGTCTCCTTTGCCCAAGCATGAGATCATTACTGTTGTGTGGGGGTAAGTTGGGTTCCTTAGTGAAGAAATGCCCACACCACCAGGCTTCAAAAAAGAGGGGAGATTCTAAGTGACTTTCAAGTGTGTAGCTGGGATTCTGCTAGCTGTTCTCCAGTACTGGGCTGCTTCCAGATCCTAGTGACAAGCACAGCATTCAGCAGGAGCTCTAGCACCCAGTCCATCAGAGCAGTGTGTATAAATCAGAAGATGAATGCAAGGAGTCAGCAAGGGTGAGGAGCTGACTTTAGGAGTATGTTTGCATCTGAAACCTGCCCACTGTCTGAGATGTTCAGCCATTTTCTGAGCTTCTTACCATTCTGTTGTGTTCTTTCTTTCCATCAAGTTTGTATAAAGAACAAGCCTTTGGGGTAGAACTTTTCTGCCTTTGACACTCCCAACTCATTCTTACATGTTTATATTTGTTGTTGTTATTGAGTAACCAGTAATAAATAATGTTTTGGTCAAGACTCTTAAAATGGGTCAGTGAACCTCAAAGCGACTCTGAGTCGTATGTACCATGAGAGCAATTCCTCCTGATTTAGAAATAGGTGAAGCACTGACATCCTAGAACATTTTAGAGTGAGACCAAACAACCAAAAATTTGTGCTCTATTGTATTTAGGGGGATGTAGCATTCCCTAACAGAATGGGACGCCTGCACGCCTGGATGTAGACAAATTAACAAAGTCTTGAATAGTCTAAAAGAAAATACCTCCTCCATCCAAAAAATGTGGGTTAGAAAGGAGACTTTTGCCTTGTGCCTCCTGCTGAAGTTTAAAGTTGTTCAAGCAACTTCCTTCTACAGAGAAAGTGTTTCTCTAAGTGGCAGAAGAAAAATATTGTGGAGAAAAAAAAAAAACATAGCTCTAGAATTCCAAAAATACTGTCTCCTTTCAAAGTAAGATTTATATGCAAGAAGACAATCTCTCTTACAGAGTTTTTCCTGTCACTTGGAGTCCACTCACTGGAAACAAGCATACAGTTTAAAAATACATTGGAAGATCAGCTTGGACACAGAGAAAGGAATGACCTGTAGTCCTAAGAAACAGAGAAGCTTTTCAGTAGCTTGAGGCTTGGAACAAGAGTCTAAAAGTTATGTAACACCAGTAAAATTTGGGGCATTCTTGTTACCTAAAAAATAACCATTCTTGGCTTCTCACATTAATATCTCTGCTTAGGGATTACGTTAACTGTTTTGTGGGGAGGCTAGATGGAAATCTGCAGCTGTGGTGGTGAGTTTTCTTCAATGTGTAAAGGGTCAGGATGAATGAGTGGTTGGGTTATTTGAGGGCTGGTGTGCCTGAGCCCTCTTTGTCTGGGATCCAGACAAGCCTTCCTGTTGAGAAACACTGTCCTACTTCTTCAGTGCAAGGCAAACAACAGAACAGCTCCTGCTCTAGCAGGACAGTGGAAGCAGTAAAATGTCTCCAGTTAATGCTACAAGCATGGAGTGGCTTCTGGAATTATCAAAGCAGAGGTAACACACCTCCTTTCTTGCTCTCCATGGTTTTATTAAGATAGTTTTGGTTCTTGGCAAAATTCTAAGAGATGTTGTATCAGCCTTTTGCAAGGAAAAGGTTGGATGCCCATATGCACCTCTGAGGTGGAAACAATGGGTACCACTAGCTCTATTCAAGGACACAACTTCATTTTCAGCATGAGTGGAAAGTATGTGGGAATGCTTAATAGCTTTTCCTAGAAGAAAACAATAACCTAAATAAATTTCCCCCCTTAAGAAAAAAAAAAAGCAAAAAAAGCCTCCAAGCAACAACCCAGCAAGAAAAGCTCAAAAAACCTAAAAAAAAAAAAAAAAAAAAAAAGAAAAAAAAATTTCAAAAAAAAAAAAACAAAAAAACAAAAAAAAAAAAAAACCCAGATTTAAAAAATATATATATTTCATCTTTGGAACAGGATAGAGCAAGGATTTGTTTGTCATGTGATATGGCAGCCCAGCAGTGCCTGGCAATGACTTTGATGCTTTGGTGAGCTGGTCAATTCTCAGCCGTGCTCTGAGGAGCCCTCTGCTGAGTCCCTTAGCAAGCACTGTCTAGGAAACGGGGAAAGAGGTACAGAAGATGTTTTGTTACACCTTTGAAACTGATAACTCGTGTCTGTAAATTGAGCTGCTTTTTGGAACTGTGTCCAGGTTGCCATGGGGCTGTTTGAGAAACCCCAAAATCCCCAGTGTCCCCAGTGGTCTTCCCTTTGTTCCACCACAGATGTCCTACACAGAGGCAAAACCAGATGAATCTGCCTTCAGTTGCTTTTGATTTTATTCTTCCTTTTGTTTTTATTCTTTATGATATTCAAACAGCACAATCTTTTTGTCTCCTGTCCCTTATACAGCCTTGTGACCATTTAAAGGGGCCCACAGACTGTCCATATAAAAGCATGTGTGTACACGGAGCCTGTCTGCTGTACTGATGACTAGATGGGCTATTACATGTACATTTAATAACTGTATCACATGCCTAGTTTTCTCTGTGTGAAAAGCACAAAGGTACCTATCAGCAGATATAAATGCCTACTAAAAGGCTGTGATGTGGTAGAAGGGCTCTTAGCAGGAGATGTGTGGGAAGTAATCTTTGTTATGGCTGTACCAACCTTAACTAGCCCAACTGTGATGATCCCAAGCTGAAGAAACCTTTGTACCACACAGTATTTTCCAGTTAATTATATATATTTGTGCATCTGGGTGTGTGTGTGTGTGGACAAGTGAGATCATCCATTCCTGTGAGAGTTTTATTTATCCTATCCAGAACATTTTTCCTCTCACTAGCTCCTTTCCAGGAGCTCAACAACAACAATAGGGCCAAGGGCCTTCTGTCTCCTCTGCTGTCTGCAGTCCAGTGTCTGCACTGGGGTGTGGGTTCTCCAAGTCAGCTCCAAGGACTGCCCCAGCTTGAGTCTGCTGCATTTCCAAGCACAGATAATATGGGATGTTTCCAGGCCAGTCTGGCTGCTGGCTGGGCTCTTGACAGAACTAGGAAATGGGAACAAGAAAAACAAATACTTTTTTTTTTTTTTTAAGTTTGTATGTGTTTGGATATAAGAGAATAATGACAGAGAAAAACTAGATTTTGAGCCATTTGGCATCCCTTAGTGATGTGCAATCAAGGGTCTAGCTCATCTTTAATTCAAACAGGTTTGTTCTAAAGTTGTATTTGAAAAATTCTATTTTAGTACTTGCTTAGAAGTCTAGGAGTTAGTTTTGGTTGATTTTTATAAGGTGGGTTGGTCTGTGTAGGGTTTTTTCTTTTTGAAAATGGCACTATTATTTTCTCCTTCCCGTATTTTCTTGGATCAGAAGGTTCACTGAGATGCCAAACTATGGCTGGCTACAGCTCCAGCACATCTTGTAACAAGGCAGGCCGTGACATGCCAGAGTGGTGGAGCGTGGTATGTACAGTCCAGGAAAGATGTGACAGATTAACACTGCTGATAATGTTCACCACTCCGGATCTTCTACTAAAATCCCCTTCTTCCAGGTAGTTTAACTCTTGAGACACTGGTACAAGGAGCACCTGAAGAAATCAGATGCCTACAGACACCAACCATCAGAACAATATTTCTTTAGTGTAGAGCTGGGCAAGAGTAGAAATGTGAGTTAACTTTCCCATCATTTCTACCCAGTTTCTTTGTGATTTCAGGCACTGGCTGGGATCTGCATTCTGTCCCTGCTTCCACAAGGAGTATGAGGAACACTGAGCAACACCACCACAGCTTGTTTCTCCTCAACATAAGGTATGACAGACCCAAACTACATCCCTCTGCCCTTGGTCAGAAAGGGCATCCATAGTCCTCCCACTCTTCCCATTCACCATCTCCCCCTTTTCACACCCAGAAAACACAAAGTGTTGTGCAATGCCTGTAAAGCTTACATAGTATAGGCCAGGCCTTGAAAAGGTACTTTAGTTCTGTCTTGGTTTGGGGGATATAAACAGGGATTTGGGGATATAATGTTTATAATTTTGCTTTGGGTAAGGTGCCATTTACCAGTGAGATTGTACAGCCCTGACCTACGGGCCAGTCCACAAGGGAAGGAGGCAAGCTGGAATATGGGATCATGAGTTCTTTACCTGCAAGAAGAGGCTCGTGCAGGGGTGTTATTGCTGAGTATAATACACCCTTCCAAAGGAAGCTGCACTTTTGTCTAATGAAGCCTTTACCTGAGAGGTAATGAAAGCTGATTGCTGTACTCCTCAGGCTCATGGCTTCCTTTGGAGTATCTTTTACTCCTCAAATGCTGATAATATCAATCTGGATTGAAGGAGAGACTGTAGGGATGGTCTGAATATCAGGATTACTCACCAGCCCTACAGGACTGATCTTCCTCCTGCTCACCTGAGCAGTAGCAGGGCTCTCTTGGTGAAGCTCCATTCCTGTTTTTACAAGAGGAGGTATAAGCAGTTTCCAAAATCTGAATAGGAAATACACTTACAGCT